ATGCCGAATTTAACTTGTACTGATATTTTTTATCGCATATTGGGAACGATAATAGTCATGAAAAATGAATCTGTCAGGCATTGTTCAAGTTTTTTTGTGATAACCTGTTTAATATAAAAGTACTCTATCTGCTAATGTAGAAAGTAGGTCTAATATAACAGAATTTTACATGAAAGACAAAGTAATAACTTCATAATCTTCTGATGAAACTATATAGTCTATGTCAAAATTGATGAAGACACCGTTTAGTAGTTTTTATCACAATGTCTGTGTAGGTGTAATACCAACAAATCATAGTTATCCGGTTTAATACAAAAAAGGGTCGAAAAAATATCCCCTTGAATTTGACAGTTGTTGGAAAATAACCTTGAATTTCATTACAGAAAAAAATTCTGAGTCATAAACATATATATCTTGGGTGTTTCAAAGCACCATTCTTTTTTTATTTGGTGTTTCTATAAAATATTTGTTGGAAACTTGAGGTGACATGGTTACTAAAGCTTGTAAACAGCAAAAAAGGATCAAAATTTGATTGGTTTACTTCCGGTGATGGTTGTTATCTTATTTCCAATGAAATGCTATGTGAAATTTTCACTGTAGTATAGGACAGGGTTAAACTTTACTCATGCCAAGTATTTCTTTATTTGAAACAAAGATACTGCACAATTTTTTGAAAAAAAGCAAATTTAACAAAGACTAATAGGGGTATTACTCCTGTAATCAGAATCCAAAAAATAATCTGCGTGCCATATAATACGATCATTCTCTAATTGATATTCCTTCTTTGAACCTCAAATTACGATTTCGTACCATAGTACGAAATTGATGAAACGAAATGATTATGGGTACGAAATGACTATATATCTTATTATTTAGTATTGGTTTACTTGTACATGTGTTTCCATCTTTATTATACCGTTTTTAAAGAATTAAAAGCCTTTTCTGACTTGCTTTTGTTGTGCTTTCTTCCATACACTAAATTTTATTTCAATGTTCGACATTTAATATGGAGGGTTGTATGCTAAAAACTAGTTTAACTCTTCTACATGTTCATATGCCTGTCCGAAACCGCAAAGGCGGGTGTTTTTCGTCGTGTTTTAATGTTTTTGTCTTTTATAGAATTTGGTGTTGGTGGATCTTGATAGTTTCTTTTATTTTCTTATAAAACATTGAAAGCTTGACTAATCGTTTGTCGTTGTAGCATGTTGCAGGCCGTATATTTTAACCAAAACAGGTTAATATTTCCATGTCCCTATTTCGAGTTTAGTGTATCACATTATATTTTTTTTTAAATTTCCCGAAAAATGACAACTAATGTAAAGTTATGCCATAGTTCCATAATTTAAATCCAACACGGTTTTTCACCATTTCCCCTGCATTTATCATGCTTTTCAATAACATACAAAAAACCCCCTCCTAAATTATTGAAAACTATCATTCTGCATTGATAATAATCATCTTGGTGTAAATAAGATACATCCATTCGAGCTAACGCCCTCAAGGTGTATCTAATACATAGTAAAGTAACAAATACAGATTACGTGGCTTCGACAGCATACACTTCTTGGAAGTTTTATCAATTTTATTTATTTTGTTTCATCTTTTTAACTACAAGCACTAAATGTTCTTTGTTGGGTTTTCTTTACTAATTATTTATATAGAGCGAGGTTACCTTATTTACTTACTCAACTTATTTATTATTCATTGAGTAGAAAGAAGCCAAGTACTTACATGACTGCAAAATTCAAAATTGAAAATTGAAAAAAAAAATCTGCTGAACGAAATCAATAATAATAACAAGATACTGTCATGTTGTTCTATCGATGAATCAGCATGAGCGGTGTCTATGGTATCCTGATCTCAGCTGAAGTGATAGAAAAACATGGTGATGTCTTGTTATTGTTATTACAACGTATATCGTTCAATATATTATTTTTTTTTCAATTGAAGTTTTCAATCGTGCAAGTATCTGACCTCTTTCTACATTGTCTTTGGAGATTAGAGCTGCGTTGCATTAGAGGTGATTCACTCTGCATGAGCATGCACTAATTACCAATGGACGTAAACCAAACAATGGCTTGCTTGCGTCCAGTATATCCAGTAAGATCATGGTAATGAGATATGAATGTTGAAACTGTTTTGTTCTAGATTGAGCTGGACTTTTCACATGTTTGTTCAAAATGCAACTGTCCAGGTAAAGACATTTTATAGCTTATTAGTGGGTGTGGCCTCTTCGCTAAGCGTTTAATATCATAGTAAAATACGACGACCTGTAGCTATTTTTTTTTTATCTGAATGTTAATATTATGGATTAAATGAGCAGACTATTCATACAATATTCAAAACATAACGTTTATGAAGCCATGGTTATATTTGATTGAACACTTCGCATAATGTCATTCATGAAATTGACCGTTTGTGTTATGACCAGCGACAACTTTTCAAAAAAGCTCCGTTTTGCAAGACAATCAACGAGCTGTGTTACGGTTTCAACTGTTTATCTGTATCCGCCCGGCACAAGCCAAAGAAAAGTAATGTGTAGTATCACCGTTGAATGATATACTATTTTCAGTTGGCCATTGATGCCATTACGGTCAGCATATGTATCAGGAATTATTCTCAATCTCAAAATATGATATTTATGCATATATCCTTCCTAAAAGTTCTTGGAAGCTTTTAAGGACTTGTAGGCCCTCATTCATTCTTTATCAAACATTTTGGTGTGGTTGTCTGCAAGGTCAGTTTCAAGTTTCCTTCAAATTTCTTTCCCAATATTCTCCTCTGTAAGTTAATTTTCAAACATTTGGTCTCGAAATTCTACACAATATGTTTTTACTTTATTAAACATAAACATAAACCAAAACACAGATGACACTCAACGACTTCACAGGTAAACGGGAAAGCGGCGGGCGTCCTTTACATCGAATACTGATTTGTAACACCATATGACTTTGCCCCCTGTTCTTTTAAATCTCGCACATTCTCGCATGATTTTCAATTAAACGCTTTACCTACTCAGAATTCTAGGTCGAGAACAAGCTTTCCCGAAAAAAAGGATGAAGGATGTACTTTGTTTAGGTTTAGGAATTTTTGTCAAAAGTTCCTTGGTTTTTTCTTACGATACAGGGTAAAATATTTTGCCCCATAACACCCATTTTTCTTTTTTTCTTTTCATATAAGCTTAAACTTCAATAGCTCATAAAAGGTCATTTACCAAAATTTAATCAGATTCTAGAGTTCTTTTCTTTCGATTTGAGACCCAAATAATACCAATGCAAATATAAGCGGTAAAAGTCCGAGTCAGCCTTTTCCATTTTTTGAATATTAAATATCTTGAAAAGGAGCTCCATAACCTACATGTATCAATATTTTTAGCTTGCCTTTTTTTATTAGTTTATCCTGACTTTTTTTTTACATAACTTGTCATTCTGCCTTTTTTTTTTGCAAAGTTGCTCATCCTGCAATTTTTTTTACTCAAACTCCTGTCCTGCCTTTTTACAAATTTCATCTTAGCCCCCCGTCATAGAAACGTAAGGATGGTGGGTGTAGAAAATACTGGAATGAGATTTTGTCACTAAAAGTACTATAAACTTGAGACTGATACACAAGTTATAAATTTTATTATTTATAATGTTAATGAGCAATCAATAGGAGATTATGAGATTCGCATGAGGTTTAAATAAACGCATTTGGTGGTCTTTGTTTCAGAGAACATCAGTAGGTGTTTTTTTTTAAATCGAGTGTACATTGTGCTTGACCTTGGTTATAATCTGGATACTCAGACATGGTTTGAGTTGCTGTTTTTATTTTACAAAAAAACGTAAGCCCGGTATCTTTAACGATTTCAATAAAAAAAAATCTGCTCCAAATATATGTATTCATTTTGGAATTTGTCCATTACAACCCGCTTTATTCCAGCATCTAGGAAATTCTAAAAAAAGCTGAATCAATTGGACTGGACTTAAATAAGCTTTAAAAACGCTATCATTAATTTTTTTAAATTGTGTGGTCTTTAAAGTTACATCTCTCACACAGTAAGAGCTACAATTATACATGCTGAAATATAGGCACATTTTTCCTATTGGAGTTCAGTTACTCTTTACTAAAAAATTTCCTAATTCAACACTAGTCATTTTAGGTGCCAAGGAACATTGTTTATTTTTAACAGATTTTTAACTGAAACTCAAATCCAAGCATGCTGATTGTTTGACTATGACGATTGTTGATACAATATACCTCCATAATTTGATAGATTTTTTTCAATCATCCTAAGTATTAAAAGCTGAAACCAAACATTTTTTCACGTCACGAGTAAGGTGCGTGACAAAAAATCATTAAGGAATATCTATAAATATATCATTTGTCATCAGAAGTTATCTTTGAGTATGATACGAATCTTAATAGTGTACGTTACGACTTTTTCTGACATTCACACGTGGCAATAAAACTAGTTATAACAGCATGCGACAAAACATATTAACAGAAGAAGTACTTGCAATTTAAGACGTAATAATATTGTTTGATTAGAACTTTCAAACATAATTATTGTCCAGATTTGTGAGACTGATAAATCTTCACCCCCCTTCTAAATCGGTCATTATTTTCATTAATATGATCTTTTTATTATTATGGAATAAATGAAGCTTCCGAAGCAGTCATTGAATATTGTATATTAATAAGTATACCGCTTGTTAAACTCATCCATAATGGAAAAGCCAAGCTTTTATCTAGAATCGATCTTGAAAAGGATCTGAATGTAAATAAAGGTTTGAATATTTACCTGGCAAAAGTTCAATAAACGCTGATTTTAGTAATAACTACACCTAATGGCTCTGTTGGCAGACATTTTCAAGATTTTGCGTCATCAAATGTTTTTAGCTATCAAACGTGTTTAGCTTTTCTTTTTTTTTCTTTTTTTTTTCTTTTTAAAACACACTAAATATTTCGTTAGTTGAAAGGCACCAACTGAATAAATGTACCTTACATGAAAATTTTCTTACCGTAGCACTTTCATCCTCTTTTTTTCAGCCGCTTTCTCCTTTCTTTTAATCTCAGCTTTCCTCATTTGAGAAATACGGAAAGCTGTCAAAAGGCTGGACATATTTCAGCTTTACTTTCACCGTATTAAATGAAATCAGCTGTATTTCCAACCTATATCCAGACACAGGTGTTTCGGATCTAGTAAATATTTTACCGATATTGATTTATAAACATAATAATAATTGCTTCATTGACTTGCTGGCGTGCGATTGAAAAATCATCGTCGAATAATAATCATCATTGCCGTAACAATTAAAAGGCTTTGACAAAAATCGATGAAAAGTTTAAGAATCCGGAGAAAAATGAAAATGATATTACCTGAAAAACCTGACACTGGAAACAGATAATGCAGATCATTCATTATTAAACGACTTCTACTTACTGTTTTTTTGCTCTCTCTTTTAAAGCCTTCTCAATGCTTCTCTGCTTAGCATTCCGACATGCAGTTAGTATTACGGACATGTTGAAATTTAAATGTCGTACGTCTTCTCAATGATCTCGGCTGTATATAATATAGATCTATATAACGTGTCCTCATAGACTTCCACTTGTCACTAAGCAACCGTGGTACTGCCATTGCTGTTCGGATTGATTTTCCTGTTAAAGTAAATTTCATGAACAATGGGCAAAGTTTTACAATAAAGTTGATCTGTACGAACAGGATTTTTCTCGTTTAATTCACTTTTTCTCAGTGTTGTTTAAGGCGTGCTAAAATTCCTGCAGTTTAATTTTTTTTATTTCATTTATTTCTTTAGTTTATATTATTCGTACAAGGAAGTATAAATATTTATTGCTGATAAAACTTTAAAACAAACAATAGTTTAGCAAATAATATTTTGGATTGGCTTTTACAATTTTGGTTGGAATACTCATTTAAATATTCGTCTATAAGTTGCATACTTCATCAAAGTTTGTTGCAAAATTGAATCAATAATTTAAAAGTTTTAAGGACGCCATCACGAGTTGATTGACCGTTATGGAATATCTGTGAATATGTTCCAATTGTCGAAACTACTATCCCTCCTTTTTCTCTCGATTGTAACATCGCCGAATGAGACTTATCCCCTGATTTGTACTTGCATAAGCAACACGACGGGTGCCACAAGTGGAACAGGAACTGCTTACTCTTCCGGAGTTCACCCTAGTTTTTGGTGAGGTTGGGGTTGCTTAATCTTTTTTATATAGTGGTTTTTGGACCTTTTCATCTTTTCGTCGTTTTTCGTTTTTCGCCATGACGTTGTCAGTTTTTCTTTGACGTATGAGGTTTGAATATCTCCTTGGTATCATCCGCCTCTTTTTAAATGAAAAGCTGCTTCCAATATGAGTCCGTCAATTTCAATCTTTTAGGTAGCACTTCACAGTTAGAAAATAAAGTTAAAATTGAACCACACAATTTCTAATCATCTTCTATTCCTGGCTTTCTAATGAATTAAGCCAACTGTTTGTGTCATACATGTGTATTTGTTTGTAATCAGTATCTTCCATAGATTTAATTTTCAAAATTAAAAATGGTGAAATATAATTCATTTTTTGTGTACCCATGGCAACATTCTTTATTTATTTACCATAAAATATTGCAAAAAGGAGGAAAATGTCGCATAATCCCCCAAAATTTGGTTTACTCAAGAATTTCAATCCCTTTGATTGATATATTTTCTGAAACTATTGATATTAATCTACCAAATGAGCAAATGAAAATTGGGTGTCTTTCGCCTCATTTTTTCGTAAAATTTAATCACAAAGTTCGTACGACAAAAAATTGGAAAAGACATTACAACAATTCCGGTATGGATATGAAAATACGGACTGTCATACAGAAAACAGCCAATAATACATACATTACACAATCTTGATGTTGCTATAAACCCACTATGAAGGCTATATTAAACTTAAGTTATCCAAAAATTTTATTGCACACTAGCTTTCATTAGAAAAATCCACAGGGGCCAAAAGAGGGACGAAAGATACCAGAGGGACAGTCAAACTCATAGATCGAAAACAAACTGACAACGCCATGGCCAAAAATAAAAAGACAAACAGACAAATAATAGTACAGATGACACAACATAGAAAACTAAAGACTAAGCAACACGAACCCCACCAAAAACTGGGGTGTTCTCAGGTGCTCCGGAAGGGTAAGCAGATCCTGCTCCACATGCGAAACTATACACCTAACTGTGGAGTGCTACCTTATGCAAGAATTGCCACTACATTAAAGATTCCCTTATACGAATATATCAATGATATCAATGATATTTGATACAAAAATGGTCAACACGAGACGTAGTTATGTCACGTACTTGTAGCAAAGATTCAGACCAAACAATTTGCATCTTTGAATAAAGTAACGTCACAGTGAACCAAGTTCTCTCTTGCATTCTTACTGGGCCTTTATCATGCCCTTAACTTGAGTATCCTACCTACAGAAACATAAAGGTATTTCTCAACTAGGTGGCGTGTAATACAGCCAAACTTTGACTCCTTTAAAAAAAAATTCACCCAATGTGGCTTGGGTATAGAAAAGGGTTACCCCCTCTTAACTCATCCAGCAGTAATACTCATGTTCAAACAGAATGTTTACACAGTCATGTTCTGTTTTGAGACTTTACATTCGATTATCCTTGTAGGAAGAGTACAATATCAACTTGCCTGTCCCTAGTCAGGATCTTGTACTGAGTTCAGTGGTTGTCGTTGGTTTATGTCTGTCATATTTGTTTTTCGTAAACTGTTTTGTTATAAATTAGGCCGTTAGTTTTCTCAATTGTTTCATGTCGGGGCCTTTTATGGCCGACTATACGGTATGGGGTTTTCTCATTGTTGAATGCCATACGGTTGCCTATAATTGCTAACATCCACTTCATTTGTCATTTCTTATTGGCATTCATACCAAATCTCCTTATATTCATATTAAAGTCTATTCTAGGGATTTGTAGGTGGCCTGTTACAAAGAAGCATATCGGACATTTACCAACACACCCGCTAATTATAGTGGGGTCTAAATTTCCCACCCTTCATTTTGGTCAACACATTTTTCAAAACCTACTTAATGAGTTTATTCTTAAATTTGTTTCCACTAGACGTTCCACTATCAGCAATCAATCATTGAATAAAAAATTCTTTTTTTTTATTTTTGATATACGTAAATGTAGAAAACAGCAAAACAATGAACATACATGTATCCATTTTCATTGAACTAGTATACATTTTTGTTTAGAGGCCAGCTGAGTTGAAGACCCATTGGTGGCCTTGGGCTGTTTTATGCTCTTTGGTCGGGTTGTTGTCTCATTGACACATTCCCCATTTCTATTCTCATTTTTATCAGTAATTTCAAATTATAGATGTCTTAACAAATGTCAGAAAATTTCACAAAAAAAAATCACAGTGAACGATAATGTCAACATAATCGAACATAGTCACATTAATCTGTGTGACATAGGAAGATTCGTCTTGAAATTAGAATCCTAATACATGTTATAGTATTATGCCAAACTTATTTAGTTACATACAGGAATAAGGTATGTTGAGGTCTGAATCAGATATGATTGAATTAATTTTCTACTCATCTTCGATGACGTTTTTTTTCGAAATTAAACTAGTTGAAACATTACGACAATAGTAAAACACGATACCTCAAAATATCAAGTTAATGCGGATCTACATTATATGATTTTCTGGATGGGGTTTATAGAAAGAGCCAAATGTACAAACAATCGACCCAAAAATATAAACTAGAGAAAAAATAGGACAAAAAAATAAAAAAGAGAATACTGTGTTCTTAGTCTATAAATAAAGAATAGATAATAATAAGCAAAAAAAATAAAGAATAGAGAAAAATTACTTAAAAATTGAAGTATACAGAAATAAAGGACTACCCATCCAGACCGTCTTATATGTACATACAATCCAACAAACCGTGTCGGACATAAGCTGGTAACTCACTCTCTAAAGAAATTTGTCTGTCATAGAAAGACTTTTTAAAATTGATTGGGCTCAGTTTTCTCTTGTTGTGGTTATTTGAATTTATCATCCCTAGAGGCCTGATATATTTGTAACAGTATGTATCGCGCATATATAGCCGAACGGATATCGATTGCTGAGTATGCAAAATGTTTCACCCAAGCTACATTATTTGCAATTTTGATTGATCGTTGATAATAAACAGATAATGATTAAAGAAATTAACACTAACAGATCGCGCTAGTAATAAAAGACAACAAAATAATTTATTTAAACATAGCACATTAAGGAATATATGGTACTTGCATCAATAGGTGTTTGATTATATTTTAAACAGTGGTAATCTATATTTCTTTTCTGTTCAGGTAAAAACAATGAAAATTATATATATTGAAACATAGATATTTTAAATATCTTGTCGATTGTACAAACCATGACATCTGATAACAGTTAAGTTCAAATTATGTATCGTTTGTTTTGAAATTCACTTTTATTGACATTTTGCTTTGTTTGGCAAACATAAATAAAATTGCTGGGTAAACGTGTTTAACAAATATGCGCTTACGTGGCGTTTTTGAAATGACAAAAAAGACAAAGCCTGTTGCACAAGCCCTTTTTTTTAAATATTCTTTTTCTATTTCAAACCTTCATGAGAAAGTGTAAATCGACTGTGAATTTTTCTACTGGGGACATTCAATTATGAAAGATAAACAGCCCGGTAATTTCCATTGAAACTATTTTCTAAACTTCTGCAACCGTTAGTAAAACTCGCTGTATGGTAGATTCGTATTTGTGCTTTAAAGTTTTTATAACATTTGATGTATTTAAACATTTGACTATATCATAGATGCCTGAAAATTGCTGAAAAACAATATTTTTGATAGATTTTGACAAATTTTGAGTAATTGTCCATAAAATATATGAGAAAGACATTCTTAACCAAAACCAATCTTCTATCAGTTACAATTCTGTATATAATTGTCATGGTTGATGAAATAATAGATTAAAGAAGGAGTTTCAGGTTTGAAATAAAATGTTAAATCAAACAAACCATACATGTATGTGGGCTTAACGATGTATCAACTGTGTGTACGTTTGTTTTTTTTTGGGGGGGGGGGGCAATACCATGGGGGAAAACAAACACCGACAAGCAACATATAAAAATAAGTAGATGTGGTATGATTGCCAATGAGACAACTCTCCACAAGTGACCAAATGCCATAGAAATCATGCAACAACTGTAGGTCACCGTACTAACAATGAGCAAAACCCATACCGCATAGTCAGCTATAAAAGGTCCCGAAATAACAAATGTAAAAACAATTCAAACAAGAAAACTAACGGCCTGATTTATGTACCAAAAAAGTGAACGAATATGATATACAGCAA